TTCATCTCTGTTCTTCTCTTCTCCCCCATTCTCACTCTCAGCTGCTGACTGTGCTTCTTTCCTCACTGACAAAACTGAAGAATTAGAAGAGAACTTCCGTTCACTCTTACCATGCCCACTTATCGATGCAGGGGTAAGGCTTTAGGCCCTGCCTTTCTCCCTGTCAATAAGGAAGCATTCTTGGTGCAGCCATGCAAAAGGGAGGTTGAAATGAGCAGAGATTGTACCACTGCACTCCAGCCTGGGAGACAAAGTGAGACCCTGTCTTAAAAAAAAAAAAAAAACAAATTCAAAACAAAACAGAAAGCAATTATGTCTTTATGGCACCTCCTTCCTCTTTGGCTGGTCTCTGAAACATCTGGTGCCTCAGTAACTCTGGGGTAAATTTCTCCTTGAGCTCTGGCCTCCCCAGAGCCTTGGAAGGCCTTGTGGGAGACCTGGAGTGGATTGATTAGCAAGTAGCCCTAACCCTGGGGGAGCATCTTCTTTCTCTTGGTGGAGGTTAGAAAGAGAAAACTGACGAACAGGAGCACATGTAGAAGACCATGCGCAGGATGGCAAAGGCCTTATAATCATGTTCTAATCATTCCTCATTCTTCCGTTAAATACTTGTTGTCTTCACTCTGCCAAATAAGTCAAATAAGTGCTGTGGCTATAAAACAATGAACATTACTGACAAGGTGCTTGCTCTTATGGAGCTTATATTCTAATAATATAAAGCATAGCACAGATATGCTGGGTGGATAAATAAAAGAAAGTAATAAGAAAACAACTTAAGTCCTCTGCAGTTAAAAGGGTGAGATCACAGAATGACTGAACCACAAGAGGGAGCCAGTCATGCAAAGACCAGAGGGAGGCACATCTGAGGCACCATTTCTGTCTTAACTGCCATAGCCATAGCCATATGAAGCCCTCTGTTCCATCTTTAACCAGCTTAAATGTCAGAGTCGATCTGTATAACCACTCCCTGAACTCCCTGACCACCTTAATTCTGTCATGCTGGTGGGCAAAATTGCAACTCCAGTTAAATCCAACTCTCCACCTGTACTATTTCTGTACCCATGAGCTGGTCATAGATGGAAAACAGACAGACAGATAGACAAACACACCCACCCACCCACACACCATGCTGTTTGGTCTTACTTTAAACGTGTCACTAGGAACTTAAGTAGGCTCTTGCTATTTCCCAGCGAATGTCCTGTATTTCCCTGGTCCTTTCACTCTCCTACTCTATTCATGGACATTTTCATCTCTGTTCTTCTCTTCTCCCCCATTCTCACTCTCAGCTGCTGACTGTGCTTCTTTCCTCACTGACAAAACTGAAGAATTAGAAGAGAACTTCCATTCACTCTTACCATGCCCACTTATCGATGCAGGGGTAAGGCTTTAGGCCCTGCCTTTCTCCCTGTCAATAAGGAAGCATTCTTGGTGCAGCCATGCAAAAGCCTCCACTTGTGCATCAGATCTCACCCCTCTCGCAGAATCAAGAACACTAGACCAGCAAATCCTCCCTGTCTACCCTACCATCAATTTTTCCTCTACTGGATCAGTATACAACCATGCTGTTGTGTCAACCATTTCAAAAACAAAAATCTCCTCTTGACTGCACTTCCCTTATTGGTTACTATCTTATTTCTCTGTAACCCTTGTAGCCAGTTGTCTATACTAGCTGTTTCTAATTCCTCTTCTCCTATTATTCTCTCTTAAATTCTCTCCAATCCAGCTTTTGTGCACCACTGAGCTAAAACTGATCTTTCCAAGATCAACAAAACCAACAAAACTCTATCAGAAGGAAAAAAAGGAATGAGGCAGCTGTAAGTTAGGGAAGACATGTTAGGAGAAGGAGACGGGCAGAAGAGGACTGGATTGAGTACCTGTATCAAAAGAAGAATTCCTTACATGTTGTGTAGTCTTTCCATTCCATTTGGACCATACTTATATATACATATATGTATATACATTTCCTTATTTTCTTTGGAATCTAGTGTTTCCCAGACTCTCAAAGCAGCCGATTAGAGTGAAATCTGAATATTAGACTAATCGGCTCACCATTTAGGGAACGGAGAGTAAAACAAAATCATAGCAGTGAGTGAGCTTTTATTTTATATTTTCTTATCTCTGAAATTGACGTGAAACCTCAGAAACCTAAAAGTCTCTTTAACCTAATCAGGAATGATTCAAACAGTCTAAGAAAGAGTTGCCTCCAAACAATAGCCCTCTAAGATAAATGTAGTTGTGGTAATTTTGCAGCTATCCCTTTTTAAAAATGGCCCAGCCAGGAATTATATATATTAATCTCAGGTAGCTTTGAAAGTCTGGCTGCAGTACTGCACTTTCTGATCTTAGCAGTGGGAACAACTGTGACTTACCTCAGTGAGGTAGCCTCACTCCTTTAGTGGGCAGGGTGATTCCTATGGCCCTAGCACCAAATGAGGTAAACATTTAACAATTGCATTTAGCAATTGTCCCAATCAGTTGGTTAATATAGGGAATCTCATTAGATAGTGCATATCAGTGTCTGGGAAAATGCGGGTAACAATCCATTAGTGAGTTACAAAATTAATCTGATGGGTTGACCAATTTTTTAAAAAATGAAATAAAATAGAAAATAGAGTGCATTACACATACTTAGGATAAGACAGTTCGTGAGACTTTGGTTTCAGTTGTGAAAAGGTATGTCCTGGTTCATAAAATTACAGTTTTTTTTTTTTTGAGGCAGAGTCTCGCTCAGCCACCCAGGCTGAAGTGCAGTGGTGTGATGTCGGCTCACTGCAACCACTGTCTCCCGGGTTCAAGCAATTCTCCCGTCTCCATCCATAATGCAATAACCAGTGCGGCAGAATGTACTAATCAAAATTCAAGAACATTTGGACATTTTCCACATCATTTTCAGCATCATATATCACTAGGCATGAGCAGAAACAAGAGGAATCTGGGGCACTTTACAGTGGGGCTTTCATGTGCAATACCAGTAAGAGCTCGAACTTTCTCTGTAAGTTAAACCACCATAATGGAGATGTTACACTTTACAAACTACTTCACAAACTTGATTTCATTTGAGTTTCTTGTCCATCCTTTGTAGCAAGCAAGACAAAAAAGTAGCAGCATCTGTGGCAGGTTTCAATGATCCATCCTGTTTAGATCAGAAGCCCACCCAGCAGCTGGGAGAAAGGCTCTTACCCACAGTTCCAGAGAGAGAGCTGGCAAGGGTGAAAAACTATATGTGGACTCCAGCCAAGTAAACTGGGGTTCAGGGCAGAACTCCAGTTCCAGGAGGGAGAATGGAAAGGGTGAACAGGAACTGGGGCTGAAGCCCAGATAGTAAACAAAGCACACAGGTGGCGAGGCCCGTCCTCAGGCACATTGGATTCCAAGCTCACACCCGCAGAGTTCCAGAACTCCATGCCTGGCTTTGAAGAAGTAGCAAAGAATATCATGTGGATAAGGGACATGGTGTAGAGGTTATCAGGCACCTGCAAAGGCAAGAAGAGACTAGTAGGAATTGGAAAGTTAATCAATCAGCCTGGCATGAGTAGCGTTGCCAGATAAAATATAGGATGCCTACTGAAATTTAGATTTCAGATAAACAATGGAAATGTTTTAGTATAAGTATGTGTCATGCAATATTTGGGACATGTTTATGCCAAAAATTTATTGTTTATCTGAAATTTATATTTAACTATGGATCTCACATTTTTATTTACTAAATCTGGCAACTCTTCCTGTGGGTGTGATGGAGGATGAGGCTGGAAGGCTTGGCAGAGCAAGATCACAAAGGGTCTTGTGTGCCTTGCTTGGCAGATAATGGGGAGCCAGGAAAGTTTTTATAAGCAGGGGAACAGTATAACAGGGTATGCGTTTTAGAATCATTGTAATAGCCTGTGGGAAACAAAACAGAGTTCAGAAGGACAGGAACTGAGAGACCAGAAAGCGATTTCAATAGTTCAGATTTGAGGGAAATTGAAAATAACTTAACCCACTTCACAGTTCTGCCTAAAGCTAGCAAGGCTCCCAGGTTCACTTGGGCTCTGGAGACCGAACTATTCTTTCAAGAGCTACTCTTCATTTTTGTTTTTGTTTTGTTTGAGACAGAGTCTTGCTCTGTCACCGGGCTGGACTGCAGTGGCGTGATCTCAGCTCACTGCAATCTCCACCTTCCGGGTTCAAGTGATTCTCCTGCCTCTCCTGCCTCAGCCTCCCGAGTAGCTGAAACTACAGGTGCATGCCACCATGCCCAGCTAATTTTTTTTTTTTTTTTTTTTTAGTAGAGATGGGGTTTCACCATGTTGGCCAGGATGGTCTCGATCTCCTGACCTTGTGATCCACCTGTCTCAGCCTCCCAAGTGCTGGGATTATAGGCGTGAGCCACCACACCCAGCCTACTCTTTGTTTTAAGGAACAACAACAACAAAAAGCTCTGGTGGAGAATAGAATATATTTTTATACATATAATATAGTGTCTTGCCCAAATCCAGTGTCAATCACATACTTCTTGAGGAAGCTAGAAAGATATGTGTATAATAGACTAAGCTCAATATCTCTTTCCATATTGCATCCCCTGTAGGTTATCAATAAACATTTGATTCTTAGATTATGAGTTCCATAAGGGCACAGTCTGTATCTTCATCATCTTTGTTTCTTTAGCACCTGACCCAGGGCTGGGAATAAGTTTCTCAGAAAATAGTTCTTGATTAAAGTGGTCTAAGTAATTAACAACCAGAAGTGCTTCCTATTAACTACATTTCTCCAACATTACTTCAAAGGTACAATTTGGCATATTTTTCACATGAATGCAAAAGAAGCCTGCTTCTTATAATGGACCAGAAAATTGTTTTTTAAAGCTGAGGAATTATACTGACTAGATGGAGTTTTAAAGATAATATTCATTTATGTGAAAATGTGAGTTTTTTTCTTGAATGTTCCTGCTTCCACAAGCTTTATCATTGTGTGGATATTAGCAAATCTTAAAAAAAAAAACCCAATCTTAATTAAACACATACCAAGTAGATCATCATAAACTGGTACAAAGTGGTCTTCTCCTTCAGTTACCATTATCAGTCTAGTTTCTTGTATCTGTGTCTCTTTCAAAGCTGACGTGTGAATTTTTTGAGGGCAGGAACTATTCTGATTTATCTTCACAGTCACAGAACTTTCATTAATAGTAGGTTTATTGAATTCCAAGGTCAGGCAGCCAAAAGGGAAAGAATAATTCTGGGAAGTGCATGGGGTAAATAAAATGCAATTTAAAAATTATTATAATGACCCTTTATTGAAGATTATGTTCCAAGTATCATGCTAGGTGCTTTACATATGTCTTAATACATTCTAATTATACCTCAATTCTAAAAACTCTTCTCTGAGCTAGCTGTTATAATGCTCATGTTATGGGTAAAGAAACTAAGAATTGCAACTGATAAGTAACTTGCCCAGACTGACACAGTTAACAAATTGGCAGAGCTGAGATTAATACCAGACTCCAAAGTCTATGCTCTCAACATGACTCCAGGAATTGTCATTTTCAAGTATATATTGGAGACAGGAAGATTGGTGAGGTGTTTATAAGAACTTTCTTTAATCAGTCACTACATGGTACCTCAGAAGACTAAAGTTTGATATTTTAAAAATGTGTGAGTGCACATGTGTGTAAGACAAGAGGTATGGAAGTATTTCTTAAAACTATATTTTGAGCCATGTTCTTTTTTTCTGTTCAGTTTTGTATTTAAAAGAACAAATGACTTTATGTATATAATTAGACTTCATCTCCACCTTGACTGCAAACTGATGATACACTTAAATTATTATCACATTGTTGTTATCAGGAACATATGGGTTGTACATGTTACAATCATTCATACCAACTTCATTTACCCCATCCAGAGGAATACATGCAGATCATGTTCAGATATGCAATGCAACCTTAACAGTCTAGATGTATCATAATTTATCTGTGACAATCCAGATCCTCCTCTGAGCTGTAAATGTAATTGTATATGGCAGTTATTCTGTGTTTTGTTTTGTTGTTTGGTAAATGTGTACTTTTTGCCTGATGCTAACATCTTTTCAACAGCCCTCTTTTGCCTGCTCAACCGCCAACCTCCCAGTTCACTGATACCAGGAAGAATCAGAGTCTTGTCTGCCCATGATGATTTGCCTCCAGTCTGCACGGTTAAATCACAGCTTAAACTTTACCAAACTTTTGGAGTCTAAAAGCAAAAGCAACTCACAAAGTGCAAGGGTTGGCATAACTAATTTATTCATATGAATTAAAAATAATTTAAAGAAGAGGAACCAAATATGGTAAAATGAGGGGCGGGGGGCGGGGGGAAGCAGTTGATTTTAAAAATTGAGAAAAGCAAAACATGTTTTGCCTGGCTTTGTAACTAAAGAAGCCTGCCAAAAATGGTCTGTAAAGGTATAAGAATCAAAAAATATCTCCAGTGTTCTACCTTCACCAGAAACATGCAAGGAATTTCCTAGGATGGAATTATGGAAAAGATCCTCTTCAGGCCTTCATTTGTTCATTCATTGCTAGTCATGGTGCTACATATGGGAGATATAAAATGAATATGGCATGGCCCTCTGGAGCTTAGCCTCAGAGGCAGACACAGCAACTGTGCTGTACGCTGATCTGTGAAAGGCACCAGGAAATAAATGTAAAAACCACACAGTGGGTGCACAAAGAGGGGAGTGGTCAACTCTGTGAGTCTAATAAAAATAATTCATAACAATCACATAGCGATGTTCTGTGAGTTCCATCCCCACTCTATCCTCTATTGCCAACCCCTAAGAGAAACGACAGGTGAGCAAGGCACAATCCAGGCTGGGCTCTAATTAAATGTGTGCCCTAGAGCAACTCCTAGCACTACTCAGAGCCTCTGTTTCTCTGCCTGTAAAAGCCAGGAACCCTGCTCAACTATAAAGTCCATTTCTGCTCCGAATTATGAAATCGAGGCCAAAAAAACCCAAAAAAAAAAAAAAAACCTACACACACACACAACAAAAACAAAAAACAAAAAACCCAAAACCAGAAAGGAAATTCACGAGAAACAAAAGTGAAAGTCACAGAAGGGAACCCAGTAGTAAACACGAGTACAAAATTCTATATCTCACCGGAAAACGTGGCAGAGTTCCCAAATTTTTTTCAGCAACCGTGAACTTCGGAAAGAATGAAATGTGTATCACGCCCTCTGAATGTGAATAACATCAGTGTAACACGAATCCACCTTGCTCTATGCAACTGTCTTCTGAAACATTCCTCTCTGACTCTGAACAATCACTTATTTAAATAAGCGGTTCTTAAATAAATCAATCCGTACTGAATGGTCCATCCCCACAAAACCAGTCCCCATTGAAGACCACACCTGGGTGTGTCCCACACTGGGAAAAGGGGGAAAACGGGGAAAACGGGGGTAGAGAAAGAGGGGAAGAATTGGAACCTACATTAGATTGTGCCTGGTGTTGCCATGCGGTTGTCATAAACAACAGCGTCGAAGCAAACTGTTTTAAAACTTAGGAAACACGGCGGCCTTTAAACTCTATTATGTCCCTGCTCATGGCAATTGTGAGACTTCTCTGAACGTAGCCCACAACGGTACAGCCGCCCGAGAGGGAGAGCGAGCTCTGGAGCGGATGGGCGAATGAAGGCAGCCAGAGGAGGGGAGCAGACTGACAGCTTCCCCAGCTTCTGCGGCGCGTGCGGGGCCGGGACAGGCGACCGCCACAGCCAGAGAGTGCGAGCTGGACCCACCGGGGTCACTGGTCTCCAGGGTGGGAGGATGGATGCTGCCTGTCCGCTGCCGGAGCCTCCCTTCTAGCAGCAGAGGACGGAGGGTGCGCGCACGTACACACACTCTCACACACACACGCACGCACACACATCCTTCCCCTAGAGTTGTGTCTCGTCTCCCTTTTGTTTTTCTCCCTTCCCGGTCATGAGACCCGGAAGTTTTTTTTTTTTTTTTTTTAAATCCAGTCTCTCTCCCTTTTCCAACCCCCCCCGCCATCTATCACATGGCAGAGATAGAATAAAAACAGAAAAATGGCGACGGTCACGTTGTGGCGAGCCTTGCTGCGTCATTAGATAATCCTCATGCAAATAGCGGGAAGAACAAAGGAAGGGGGGCCCGGGACCCCCGGGGGCGCAGGTGGGTGTGAAGTGGGCGAGCGGCATGGGCGCGGGAAAGCGGTCAGGGAGCGCGACGGGCTACAAAAGCAAGCACAGCGAGGATGCGGCGGACAGGAACAGGAACAGTGGGGGCGTGACAAGGAGGAACCGCAGAGCGGGGCTCGGGTGCGGAGTGTGGTGAACAGTCCAGAGATGACAGCAGACGATGCGCCGACAGAGATGGAGCAGTACTGGCCGCTGAGGCTCACGGCCACCGTTCTCACAGCGCGTCGAGGAGCGAAGGCTCCAGAGGAGGGTAGGAGAACCGATAGGTCAGCACGAGAGCAGAGCATCCGGCGAAGAAGACATGGCCGCGGCTGACACACGCATCACGCCCAGCCGTGAAGGGCATTCAGCCCGACTCGAAGACATCCGCACTGGGGTCTGAGGGGCAGGCCAGGACAGGCAGACCGAGAGCGAGGAAGTCGCCACTGAGACGGGCGTCTAGCAGCACTGCCTTACAGCCCCCTGGCTCAGGGGACCAAAGACACACTAGTTCATAAGCACCTCGGGGTATAAAAGAGTAACGGCGGGGCAGCGGGGGCGGCGGCGGCGAGGACAGCACAAGGCTGAGACAACTCCCGGACCGACTCCAGAAGGTGTTGCCGAGGGCTGGGTTATGTTAGATATGTTAGGCGCAGCGGTGTAATTATATGACACAGAGGGATAGCGAGGGCGTACAATCTGACCCAATGGGCATTTCCGCAGTTTTGCGCGGCCCTCGTTGGGGTGTCAGTGGCGACGCGGGGAGCCCCGGGCGCCGGGCTCGGCCCCCCGGAGGGGATCGGCGCGGAGGGGCGGGGTGTGTGTGTAAATGTTGCGCACTCGCTTTTCCCCCGCCCCCGCCCGCGTCCAGGGTGCTGGCGTGGGTCCTTCGCCGTCCGGCGGCGACTGTAAATAGAGCCTGGATGTTGTTTACATGAAGGATCCGGCGGGAGGAGTCTAAGAGGAGGCGGCGGCGGTGGAGGAGGAGGAGGGAGGGAGGGAGGAGAGAGGAAGACCGGAGTCCCCGCGGCGGCGGCGGTCCGGAGAGAGGGCGAGCCCCGCGCGGCCCCGGGGACCGGGCGCTACCACGAGGCCGGGACGCTGGAGTCTGGGGTAGGAGGGGAGAACGGGCACGGGGCGGGAAGAGGGGTCTGTCAGTGGTATTTTTAGCTTGCACCCTGCCACGCAGATTCTCCCTGGCCGGAGGGGAGGAGGGTGGAGGGAGGGCGGGGAAGCCTCGGTTTCTCTGCACGTTCGGGAACGCCTTCTACCCCTTCATTCTCCCATTCTCAGTCTTTTCCCGCTTCTCTCCGGGCTCACCTGTTTATTTCCCTCAGCTAGAGCTCGCGGTTTTTTATATAGGCATGAGGGTCTGTTTCTTTTATTAGAAACATTATTGGGGAGAGGGGTGCCTTGCTGTAATTTGTGCTGGTCCAGGTCGGTTTTCAGGAAGGGGGAGGGGACTTGGCGGAGACGCCGGCTCCTGGCCGCAGCTGACCCGAGGGCTTCTCCCTGCCTTCCTGTGCGAGGAATTCTTTCCCTCACTCTGCTATCCGCACTCCAGCTGCCACCTTCCTGGAGAAAGACCACACCTGTGCTTATCCGCGCTTTGGAGGAGAGGTGAGCTAAGAAACCAGGGAATTCTCTGCTCTCCAGGGTTCTTAGTTATTCCCCTCCCCAATCCCAGTATTGGCCAAAAATTGTTGCTTTCACCTGCTGATTTCATTTGGCATGTCTGTCCCCAGCCTCCCTTTCCCCCGGCAAGTTGTGGTCGGCAGATGTTTTGGGATTTTATCTTCCCTCTGGACGTGTCCCCCACCAACCAGCAAATAGCTCCTGGGCCTAGGTTGAGGGAGAGAGAGATGTGACCCCCTTCGGCCAGTGCGCTGTTTTTTATTCCCCTCTGGGTCTTCTAATAGAATCTGCTTTCATCCCATAGCCCCCTATAGTTTCCCCCTAAGCTTAACCCAGAGCCAGGCCTAAGCAGCCTGTCTCTGGCTTTCTTTCCCCAGGCCCCACCCTGGCCCCTTTTGCTTTTCCAGCGCCAAAAAAACGCCTCCCAAGCAGAAGACACACCCAGCCCAAGTCTAACCATTCCAAAAGGGAGGAGAACACAGAGGAAGAGCAGGGACCCAAGGGTCTCCTTCTGTCCTGAATATTCCAACAGCGTTTCCCTCTAAAAGCCTCCTAGCTTTATAATCCCTTTATTCTTCTTACCAGTTGACCCTCCCCTCCTCTTTCCCCTTGTCCTATTACAGGTATTTGGGGAGACTGGTGGAGAAAGAGGTTGTCACCCTCTCTTCTTTACAGTGAGGCATTTTTCTTTTTCTTAGTCTTTTCATTTATTAGATGTTTAGCATGTAAAATATGTGAATCTGTTTGCAGGCTTATTTGAACTTGTTTTCTTGGTGGTAAGGAATAGCTGATATTCTAAAGGGAAGGAGGGGGGAAAAGGTCAAAAGTAACGCTCTCAGTTTTTCCCATTTGAGCATCCGCAGAGTTGCCAGAGAAGACCCTCCTGTAAAAACCAACAGTCTCCCTTCCATGACATCACCACCTAAGCCCTTCCAACTTTAGCTTCAGAACAGGAAGAAGGCTCAAAATAGAACTACCTTAGGAATCCAGCTCCTTGAAAAGATCAACTTTTAAATCAGCTGCAGAAAGAACACAGTGAACTTTGACATGGGGAGTGAGAAGGAAGAGAAGACTGTGTAGTGTTCATCATTGGTTCCTTCAGGGGAGGGTTGGGGGATACTTTCCATGTATTTCAGAAAAACTTTCCTCTAGAGTTGGGTACCTAGACCACTGAATGATAAATAGGATAGCTCAAGATTCATTTATTATTCCTAAGTTTTGATGTGTGAACAATAACAAGCACTTTTCAGAATATGAAAGAGGGGCTCCTCTGCAGAATCTGCTCTAGATAGAGAATGTTGTTTCAGGAAGCTAGGAGGGCACTTCAGGAAGACAGAGAACCTAAAGGATGTAGTGACAGCTGTTGTGAGTATGTAAGTTGCGAGGCTCATAAACAATAATTGTAATAAACAATAATTGTAACTTTTGTGGATGACTGATACCTTGGACAAAGAAGTAAGGATGTCAGGATTTCCAGCTTTACCTTGGAAATTAACTCCTTATCTTTGAATCTCAATGTCTCCATTCAGTCCCTGAATTGAGATATGCCTTCCTCTCTGAGCTAAAATAGTTACTCAGTCTTTTGGAAGGGCTGCCTAATAAATGATAATCACTGAAGTGTTGACAACTTAAGGATTGGAAGTGGAGCAGAAAATACGTGGTATAATTTGAGCACTTGGTGGGTGCTGTAAGATGACTTGCTGGTTGATGGGGTAACATCTTTTACTCTGGTTCAGGTTTAAAAGAATCCAGGTGACAGAGACAGGATACCTGCCCTAATATGGTAGCCACTAGCCACGCGGCTATTAACCACCTGAAATATGCCTAGGGTGAGGAAGAGCTCAATTTTAAATTTTACTTAATTTTAAAAATTGATAACTTGATTTAGTTATTAGAAAGCTTATTTATGTTTGGAAACATACTTGAGCTTACGCATCTACTTTTGAAACTAAGTGTTTTGAAATTCAAAGAAAAATTAAGTATTTTGATGAAGGTTTAGAATTGGGATATGTAAGTGGAAAGTACTCTTCAGATTTCAAAGACTTAGTGCAGAAAAAGACAGTAGAATAGCCCATTAATTTTATGTTGATTCCATGTTTAGATGATAATGTTTTAGATATATTGGGTTAAGTGAATATGCTATTAATTCCACGTTTATTAATGTGGCTACTAGAGAATTAAAAATTACATGTGTAGCTTTTATTATACTTCATTGGACAGCTCAGGCCTGCATCACTCCTTTTTGTCTGTGGATTAATTTCTTTTTCTTCTTTTCTTTCTTTTTTTTTTTTTTGAGATAGAGTCTCTCTCTGTCTTTCAGGCTGTGCAGTGACACGATACCAGCTCACTGCAACCTCCACCTCCCAGGTTCAAGCGATTCTCTTGTCTCAGCCTCCAGAGTAGCTGGGACTACAGGTGTGCGCCACCATGCCTGGCAGATTTTTTGTATTTTTAGTAGAGATGGGGTTTCCCCACTTTGGCCAGACTGGTGTTGAACTCCTAAGCTCGGGCGATTCGCCCGCCTTGGCCTCCCAAAGTGCTGGGATTACAGGCATGAGCCACTGTGCCTAGCCCCATGGATTAATTTCAAAAGTGGTGACTGTATGAAATATTGTTATTTCATATCTGTGTTTCTACTTTCCACTGCTGTGTTCCATGTGATGATTGGGGACCCCAAGTATTACATTATTACTATTACAATAGATCAGTGTAAAAGTCCCAGGTTCTAGAACGGCTAGCAGGGGTGTGATGGGAAAATTTGGATACCCACATACCTGACTATTGCTGCTTTTGTAAAAAGATCCTGGGCATAGCAAAAGGTACAATGTGTGGCAAAGTAACAATTGTGACACCTGGTGGCATTTTAGTAATTGTACTCATCTGTCACTCACTTCCATTTATTTTTTCTTTGCTTCATCTACTTTCTGCCCCCATCCCCACCAAATCACGGTTGCACTGGTGACTGGGCCCACAAGGTTGCTGACTCCTTTCCTCCAAAAAAAGTACAGTGCTAACATGAATAGAGGTAGTGCTGTCTTTGGGTTTTGTCTAATGAGATTCAGAAATCGCACTGGAAGGAACTTAGGGGCTATTCAGTGCTATCCCTTTATTTTATAGATGACAAACTGCCAAACACCTCACCTAAGACCCTGTAGACAGACTGGAATTAAACATACTCTTGTTGATAACTGTTTAGAGGCTCCCTGAGAAATGGAGAGGTTCATCAATTAATCAGTATTTGTTGAGCTAGCATTTTGTGGAAATGACCACTAAGTGTTGTGAAGGGATGTGAGTAAAGCAGTTTCTGACTTTAGAAAGAGTCCTCTTGACTTGAGGAAATAAGATATAAACAGCACCACATTAAATTGCAATATACAACACAACACTTAATGTGTGCAGTGCCACTGTGGCATGTGTTACTAGTAGAAATGCGTTCATTTTGTAGATGTGGGAATAGAAGCTTCGAGAAAGATGGAACCTGCAGGGACGTGGAGTGTAATTGTGTTCCTGGAACAGCCCAAGGCTGTACAGTTGGAGGTCATTGCAAGTCTTTGGTATTGGCCCCTTTGACTGTCCATTTAAGGGAATTTGAAAATCCGAGACCCAGCATTTTCGAATGGTGGTGCTGCAGTAATAAGGAAATCATAGATTAGTTGGAGACCATCAGGGATTTTAGAGATGTTTAGCCAGGGGTGGATCATTTTGAAGTTATCTGGCATATAAAACTGACTTGTGAGCAAACCATAAAATCTAAAATCTGAGGGGTGGGAGTGGTGAAATGTGACATAGAGCAAAATCGGAAAGTAAATTAACTGTGGAGTATACAATTGGACTAAAAATATTTGTGCTGGGTACATGTTTGAAGGGGAGAGGCCCATTTAATATAATAGAGGGGCCAGTCATGTATTTATAAATTTTTAGTCTCCTGGAGCCTTTTTGGACTAAACTCTTGGTTAACATGAGGAAGAAAGCTCATTTTTCTCTGTGTTGCTGTGTCCATAGGGTTTTTTCTTTTTCATCCACATGGACCTGCTAAAGTCACGTAGCATGAGATTAATTAGGGGCCAGTGCTCAGTCAGTAAAATGATGACACTCCTCTAATCACTCTCAGTTAATGCTTTTCTTTGAGAATTGGGGCTAACTTTGCATAGGGCAGTGGTCCTTGACTTTTTCTTGCCTTTCTGCCTATTTCTTTTTCCATCAAAGAGAAGAAAATTAACCTACCACCCCCATGAATCTTTGGCACAAATTAGTTTTTAAAAACCCAGCATAGCAAAATTTTGCAATAAAATGCAAGTATACATTCTGTGTACTTGTGACAAAGCAGTAATTGACATTTGAGCAACTTTCGGTGACATATTTATAACATTTCAGTGTGGTCAAATTTGGCCATTTTATATAGTATCACCGAATTAGATGATGATTTTCAAATTGGAAAACAAATTGCACTTGTTAAAAGACCAGTGGATTTAAATATACTAAACTATAGTTTAAATTTAAAAGTATTTTCAAATATTTTGTTTGGCCAACAACTTATGTTACCTTCAATTATTTAATATATAATCAGATACTTAAAGGTTTAAAACAGAATTTTCATTTTAGTTTATAAATAAGAGGGATGTAGTGTGTGTGTTTTTTGTGCTTATATTTTGTATTCCACGTTGATTGATTGCTTGAGAAAAGATCTTTGTCACCTAGGCTGGAGTGCTGTGGTGCAGTCGTGGCAGCCTCAGCCTTTCATGTTCAAGCAGTCCTCCGACCTCAGCCTCCGAAATAGCTGGGACTACAGGCCTGTGCCACCATACCCTGCTAATACTATTTTTTGTAGAGACAGGCTTCCACTATGTTGCCCAGGCTGGTCTTGAACTAGACTCAAGCAATCCTCCCGCCTCAGCCTCCTAAGGGGCTGAGATTACAGGTGTGAGCTACCATGCCTGGCCTTGTACTCCATATTATTTTAAAAGTTCTTTGGTATGCCAGTTTTCTATAAGTACCTGATTTTGTGATGACATTTGGTATATGCGTGATGAAGAAATTGTTCCTAGTTGTATCATTTTTAACATAGAAGAACTAGTTTAAAATCAGTTTGGGTCCTGGAAGAAAGCATTTTACTTCACTGTTTTCTCTCTTCCTCTCTTAGTATGCAGTTATTTTTTCTTACTGTAGCCTGAGTACCTGTAGTCACTTGTTTATAAGTTTAGACAGTTCAGTTCTTAGAAGAAACATGTTGAAAAAGAAATACTTCTGATGGATTTAAATTTTCAGAAATGCACATTTATAAACATAATTTTCAAGAAAAAGCAAGACACATTTTTGAAGCATTTATTTTAAAAATACCATTTTGAAAACCCATATTTTTCTCCCTTGAAACTGCTTTAGAATCTGAGAGAATATTAATTTAAGTAACTATTCACAGAATAATGACAATTTGCTGCTTCTTATTATGGATGCTTGGCTTCTTTTTTTTTCTCATTTAGGTAGAAAGGAATCAAATGACAAAAAAGTAAGGAGAAAAAGGAAATATCTTTTACTTATTGTACCAAAAATGTTTAGTTGTTGCATGGGTTTTGGTGACGGCTAATAGAGTGGATTTCAACTTTGCAGTACATTCGCTTCATATTTATATTTCATATTTAGACATTGAATCACACTAATACTTATTTTGGTGAAGAACAGTCTAATAACTACTGAATATGTCAGGATTATTTATTTGTCTCCATAACTTACCCAACCTTCAGTATTTCAGAGTAAGTATTCATTTTTCCAAAGCTGACAGAATTTGTGGTCAAGAAATATTAGTTGGTAATCTTCTTAACCTTTTTAGTGGAATGGCTATCTAAAATTTTACTCTAAAGTCATCACAGTATCTTTGTTCACACAGCAGATGTTTATAATTTGGGTAAAAATGTGCAACTATTTCCAAGAACCTTAGGTTATGGGATCCAACTGTGATTTTTTTTTTTTTTTAAATCTTCGTTGCCCTCTCGTGTTTCAACTCTGTATTACAGTTGGCTAAGACCTAGATGTTGACCTCCTTAATTTTTAGATATTTTTGCATTTTAGACAGTGTTGTTTTAATTTGTGTGTAGGTGGATTGTTTCATTGGATATTACTTTTCTGAAGATAAGGTCATTTTCATAGTACATAAAGTTAATAGTTGAGTTAGATTCAGTGTACTCTTATTTTCTGACTTCCGCTGATCTTTATAAAGAATTGATTCATCTATCTGACTTATTTGAAGTACAGTGCGAATATCTAATATGCATATAATGAGTCTTTGAAATTGAGCAAATGCCTAATGAAAACATAATTATTTTTCAAATATCTGTCAAGTTCCACTCATACTGAAATAACTTGAAACCTTATGACATGGAAAAAACCCAAGTGAATCATGGTTTTAATAAGTTGATATTCCGATGCCTGAATTCCAATTTCAGAATCCTTTGTACTTTTTATTAAAAGTAAGAAGCATCCCTAAAATGACTTCAGAGTACATCTCAAAGGTACAAATAATTTAAAAGCAAGTAATGTGTATATGTTATCATTACTTTTTAAAAAGGTATTCTGAAGGTTGTATCACCATAGGTATAGAATTGACGTATACTATAGTGAAAAATATCAATGTTACTAATTTGAGTGCATTCTTAGCACTCAGAGCAAGAGGATTGAGAGTCATTTTTTGCTTATGTGCATTTTCCTTCTTAATTATAAAACCCCACTAGTTTCTGCTTCATGATCTCAGTTACTGAGAAAACTAAGCAAAAAGTAAATGTTTTTAGAAATCCTTTTGTTTGTGGAAATTGTGTAAACTGAATATCCAGTTGATGGAGTTGGACAGCTAGGGTAGGGTAGAGAAAACAAAGCACTGGGTTCACTCATTTGGCATGGATCTGGGCATGGGTTCACCAAAACTTAGCAATATATGATCTCTGGTAAATCACCTAACCTAAGTTGTATTTTTTTTTTTCTATCTATAAAATGGGGTAAAATTTAATCTATTTCCAGAATCCTTTTTTGATGAATTAATGAATAATTCATTGCTAGCCCCTTTTTGAATGTTTGGCAGATGTGACGTATTATTGTCATGTTTGGTTATGAGCACTTTGAAGACAGGAATCATGTCTTATTTATCTTTATTTCCTGAACATCTAGAAGAGGCCTTAGAACATAGTAGTTCCTCAGTATATATATAATCAATGATTGAGGTCAGGGAGGCACAGTCAGTGAATCCATGCATGGAAGAAATAGGGTGTGAAATATGCTGGAGGCTTACTGCATATTTGATGTATTATCAGAGTGAAAACCTAATCATGCAGTTGTTCATCCTCATTAATATGTATAAGTCATGTGTTCATCTTTCATTCTAATATAATTCAACTGGGCCTTTTAATATTTCAGCCTCACCACTTGCTGGGCCCTGATCCTTCTTTTTCTTCTGCCTCCTCACGTCTCCAACCAGAAGGGGATCTTTTAGTCCTTCACTTCATGGGGAGCCTTCAGAGAGAGTAATGCAGCTACAAGAAAGGATGCCGTTGACCGACACAGTGACTGACAGGCTGCCCTGGCTCAGTTATCACAGTGCTGATGCTGTCCATTCTAAAGGTACAGTACTGTGATAACTGAAGGATGGCAGCCATCTTGCCTTCCATCAGAGGAGCCTCACCGTGCCCAGGAAGAAAGAAGGCAAAAGAGGAATGTGAAACAGGTGGCCGGGACCCAGAAACCCCCTTACTCTGTACCTCTGTCATCCTTCTCCCGGGGCATAGGGAGAGTTATTCTGCTTCTCTTTGCCTTGTTTTGTAACATGGGGTAGTTGTTGGGGCAGCAGTGTTGTGCTGAGTGAACATATATTAAGATCTTTGGAACCTTTAGGAGACTGAAAATAGGTAAGTATGAGTTAGTATTTCTGGAATGGTAGTCAGAGAACTTTGTACCATTTTTATAAATGTGAAAGGTAACCTAATTAGAACAGCTTGGCATTTGTTGGTACACTGCTAGATTTCAAAATCAGATTCTACTTACAGGGAGAAAAAAAAAGCCCAATATGTTGAACAGTATTGAAATTATTACATAAATAAAAGTCCATCATTGTAGACCGGCTTACTGAAGTGAGGAAAGAAAAAAGTGTATCTTTGTCTTGAAGGAGTAGATAGTGACATGTCATATTTCTTTCAGGATATTTAGGATCTGGCCTAATTCAAAAGAATATTTACTGAATACCTTTGTTATTGCTGCTGCTGTCACCTTTACATGAAAGTAAAATGTAAGTTATTTTATTTCTATCAAATAAGGACTAGTCTGCAGTGATATCTGGCACAAATCGATTTCAGGAATATGAAACTGTAAACACCAAGCCAGCATCACATGTGCATGAAAGACTAGGAAATTTTTTTGTTGTTGTGGCCCACACTGGAGTGCAGTGGTGTGATCACAGCTCACTGCAGCCTTGATCTCCCAGGCTCAAGCAGTCCTCCCGCCTCAACCTCCCGAGTAGTCCCGAGTAGACTGTAGGCTCAGACCACCCACCTGCAAATTTTTAGTAGAAACAAGGGTTCACTATGTTGCCAAGGCTGGTCTTGACCTCCTGAGCTTAATTGATCATCCCACCTCAGCCTCCCAAAGCGTTGGGATTACAGGCATGAGCCACTACACCCAGCCATGATTAGGAAATTTAACAGAGCACACATCTTCAACCTCCATCTTACTCTAGAGAGTACTGCTAGGGGTGAAAGGTGGTTATTGGAGAACCCAGGATTTCTCACATGCCCTCTGCCAATCATCCCTCTTCCCTCTAGACTCCTAAGGACACTGTACACATGTAACAATAGCAAGCAAGAAACAAAAGTGCATGACTTTGATTATGTGTTAGATCACAGTACTGTGCACGGCTCAGGTAATTTCATGGAATGTATTTTAGGCTCAGAGCCTAATTGGGTATGTTACCTCTTCCTAGGCTCATGTCTGTATCAGGGAGCCTGTGGATGTCTGACTGGTGTGGGAACCCAAAGCAGTGACCGACATGCTTGAGCAAAGAGAATGGAGATGGCCAAGGTCAGGCCCTAATTTGAACCTACCTACCACAGAGAGAAGGGGGCCAGGGAGGGGAAAACCATATGTGAGTTTTGTCTGTTTGTTTTAAAGACAGAGTCTCAGGCTGGAGTGCAGTGGCTCAAGTCTTGGCTCAGTGCAGCCTCTGCCTCCCGGGGTCAAGCAATCCTTGTGCCTCAGCCTGCCGAGTAGCTGGGATTACAGGTGTGTGCCACCATGCCCAGCTAATTTTGTATTTTTGGTAGAGATGGGGTTTCACCATGTTGGCCAAACTGGTTTTGAACTCCTGTCCTCAAGTGATTCTCCTACCTCAGCCTCCCAAAGTGCTGAGATTACAGGCATGAGCCACTGCACCCAGCCTCGTGTGACTTTTTAACGTACTGTGAACCTTACCTACTCTCAGCACTGCCAACTCCATGTCTTAGATATGGGCCAGGTGTATTATCAGGTCCTCCACTGGGACACAATGGGAAAGAAACAGAACTGGAAGGGAGTAGCCCTGATACAGAGAGGTTCTGTCTTGTCTTTCATTGTGCCAGTCGTCAGACATCAATGGTCACTGTGTTGCTTTGCTGGCGATTGCAGTTCCCTTTAGTGTCTCTTCCCTCTTTACCCAAAGAGGAATCATTCTTAATAGTGACCCCTTGAACCACACTTGGTTGGCCCAGAACTGTTATTTTTCAGATACATTGACCACATTATAGCCCAGTGCCTTCACATCTCCTCATAGATCCACAATTTCTCTAAGCTGTGTAAGCTACACTACGTTTTTCATTAATTACAGACAGGGCTCTCCCTGGTTATTATGCTACCACTCGTGAAATTCCTTGGAGTTTTCTTATAAGGAATTTCTGACAGAAACTCTGGAAGAACTTTTAGGAAGGGAAAGTTAAGAGGTTGGTGAATCCTCAAGTAATTTGAAACACTCCTAATGTTTAGTGTTTCAGCAGGTGGAAAAAAGTGCTTCAAGAAGTAACGTGTTGTGCAAACATTGGCCTTGGTGAAGATTTCACCACCTTCCCTGATCTTCCTGTTTTCCCCGTTACTAGTTTTATAAAAATTCATTGGGTTTTTTACTTACCCAACCTCGACCCCAAAATCTACAGCCAGGCCTGTGGGGTGTTGTAGAACTCAGTGTTGGGTGTCATTTGCAGTCACCCCTGCGGACAGAGTTGTGCTGGGTCCCCTTTCCTCTAAACAAGAAGGCTGAGGCTCAGTCTGCAGCAGGAGTTCCAGAAGCTTGCCTGGACCTGGAGGTCTTTGGCATCTTCAAGGCATTTCTTAGATGTAAGGTGTAAGGTGTTCCAACAGGTTAAGTGAGAAGTGATGCAAGACAGATCCGATGGGGTTTTTCCACTGCCTTGCTTAAAACACAATATGTGTTTGGTTGGTGTATTCATTGCATTTTTCAGTTTAGGTGAAGTATGTGAGAATGGGAAGATTGCAGATAAACCTAGAAATACCATATAATCCAGCAATTCCACTTCTGGATACATACCCAAAGGATGTGAAAGGCGGCAGTCTGACAGATGTTGTACACGCATGTTTATAGCAACATGATTCACAATAGCTAAAAGGTAGGAGCAACCCAAGTGTCCACTGATGGATAAGTAGATAAATGAAATGTAGCGTATACCTACATTGGAATATGATTCAGCCTTAAAAGGAAGAAAATTCTGACATATGCTACAACATGGATGAACCTTGAAGATACCATGCTAAGTGAAATAAGCCAAACACAAAAGGACATACACTGTATGATTCCACTCATATGAGGCCCCTAGAGTTGTTAAATTCATACAGCCAGGAAGCTGATGGTTGCCAGGAGCTGGGGGAGAGGGGGAAATGGAGAGTTAGTGTTTAATGAAGTTGTATTTGGGGAAGATGAAAAAATTCTGGAGATGGATGATGTTAGTTGCACAACAACATGAATGTACTTAATGCCACAATGTACACCTAAAAATGGAAAATTTTATGTGTATTTTACCGCAGTAAAAGAGATTCAGGATAATAATCCTCTTCAAGCCAAAAACAGGATTTAGTTGATTTCTCTGCTCTCCTTTAGTTTTCAGTGTGAAGATGACTGCTGTTTCAAGTAAGCAAGTAAAATGTAATTGCCATATCTTTATGCATTTCAAGTTCTCTAATCTGAAGTCCTTTACACATGTTTCAGGGTTTCCAACATAGCATAGCTTTAAAATTGTGTAAAATGTAAAGAAAACTAAATATAGTAGCAATGAGTATTAAAAACAATGAGAAAAAGGTGTGGACAAGAAGTTAGCTGATGTAGCATCTCTTGTTGGCTTTGTGTCTTTTCTGGTGAAACTGGGCAACTCACTGGTCCCCCTGTTCCAGCTGCCTCGACTGTGCACCTCTTTGGAGTTATGCTACCTCTCCTGAAATTCTCTGGAGTTTTCTTAAACAGAAAAGGAATTTCTGACAAACTCTGCAAGAACTCATAAGAAGGGAAAGGTCTGGGATTGGTGAATCCTCAAGTAATTTGAAATACTCGTAATGTTAAAAATTTAGTGTTTCAAATTACTTGAAGATTCACCAATCTCAGACCTTTGCCTTCTTAGGGAAATCATATATATAAATAATCATACATATAAGAGACTAAAGCAGCATTTAAATGTGGCATGTTATTTCTTAAAATATAAACATACAATATATGAAATAAAACAATAGCATTAGTGTTAAGTATAGTTTTAAAAAGTATCCTAGTCTTAAAAGTCAAGTATTAGCAGCTTCATTAAAGATGCATTCTACAACTTGCTGTCTGTCACGAATAGTTTTCCTATTTGTTATATGCTTAAATTTGATAATAAGAATACAACCATTGAGGCTGGAAATAGCAATAACCTTCCCTAAGGGATCACATATTTTATTAGCTGTGGGTAAAAAGCATTCATTTGTGGACCATATCTGTTTCATCACAAAGTCCTCACTTAGGGTCATGCTTTGGAAATCAGATTTTAGTTTTAGGAACATTGGACTACACCCACCAGATCCTGCACAGTATTCTACCTTGATCATTCCACACAGAGCTGGAGCAGACAGCTAGCTCTTGTTCCTGTCTGCCACATTAATTTCAAATATTTTGCTATGCCTAGTACATTTCTAGCTTCTCTGAATAACCAACCAGTTGTAAGTGTGCCACAAACTTGCCTTATCCTGTTTTGGGGGGCCCAGGGGAGACAGGGTCTTCATAGCCCAGGCTTAGAGTGCAGTGGTGCCATCTTGGCTCACTGCAGCCTCAGCCTCCTGATTAGCTGAGACTATGGGTGTATACCACCATGCCCGGCTAATTTTTCAAAATTTTTTTTGTAGAGACAGGTTCTCACTGTATTCCTCAGGCTGATCTTGAACACCTGGGCTCAAGCAGTCCTCCTGCTTTGGCCTCCCGAAGTGCTGGGATTACAGGCCTAAGCCACCACGTTGGCTTGTCTATCCCGTTCTTAAGTGAGTATCTTTCTTTCAGATCAGTTGCTCTTTGAGACAAACCTCTTAGACGTTTTTACACTCGAGAGAATTTTTTTTCCTTTAAAAATTGCTTCCTTAAAGTCTGCATTCATATTTACAGGTCTATTCATAGTTTGTCTTCACCATTACCAGTCACCATTTTTTGTTTTTGTTTTTCTGAGACGGAGTCTTGGTCTGTCGCCCAGTTTGAGTGCAGTGGCACAATCTTGCCTCATTGCAGCCTCCACCTCCGGGGTTAAGCGATTTTCCTGCCTCAACCTCCCGAGTAGCTGGGACTACAGGCATGGACCACCATGCCTGGCTAATTTTTTAAATTGTTTTAGAGATGGGGTTTCGCCATGTTGACCAGGCTGGTCTCGAACTCCTGACGTCAGGTGATCTGCCTGCCTCAGCCTCCCAAAGTGCTGGGATTACAGGTGTGAGCCACTGTGCCCGGCCTCTAGTCATCATTTTATTTATTTATTTTTTTGAGACAGAGTCTTGCTCTGTCACCAGGCTGGAGTGCAATGGCGTGATCTCGGCTCACTGCAACCTCTGCCGCCCAGGTTCAGGCAATTCTGCCTCAGCCTCCCGAGTAGCTGGGATTACAGGAATGCACTACAACGCTTGGCTAATTTTTTTTTTTTTTTTGAGATGGAGACTTGCTCTGTCACCCAGGCTGGAGTGCAGTGGTGAGATCTCAGCTCACTGCAAGCTCTGCCTCCTGGGTTCATGCCATTCGCCTGCCTCAGCCTCCCAAGTAGCTGGGATTGCAGGCACCCGCCACCACACCCGGATAAGTTTTTTGTATTTTTAGTAGAGATGGGATTTCACCGTGTTAGCCAGGATGGTCTTGATCTCCTGACCTCGTGATCGACCCACCTTAGCCTCCCAAAGTGCTGGGATTACAGGCGTGAGCCACCGCGCCTGGCCTAGTCATCATTTTTAACCACAAGGATACTTCATCAAGCATAAACAAGTTAGGTAAGGGAGGCACCAAAAGTCCATTTTGTATTTTTCTTTCATATTTAAGACATGATAAGTGTAAGGATTCCCACTGGAGGTGATTGCCAAGTACAAGAACATGTGCCTGAGCTGGGCATGGTGGCTCACACCTGTGATCCCAGTACTCTGGGAGACCAAGGTGGTCAACACCAGCCTGAGTAACAAAGTGAGACTGTCTACCAAAAAAAAGAAAGTAGCCAAGCATGGTGGTGCATGCTTGTAGCCCCAGCTCTTTGGGAGGCTGAGGCAGGATCGCGTGAGCCCAGGAGTTCGATGCTGCAATGAGCTAGGATGGTACCACTGCACTCCAGCCTGGGTAACAGCCAGACCCTGTCTCTTAATAAATAAGCAAGCAGGCATGGAACATTCTCAGCTGGGTTCTTTAAGCTGTCTGACAAGGTTTCGGGTTGTAATACATGCGTCTAATGTAAATATTTTAAAATTCACATAATTGAAGTGGAGTAAAGTAGGCTGATCATACCTTGCTTTGTACATTTGGACTATTACTGTATTTTATTTTCCATGAGATTATAAGGAGATTGATGTTAAAAAGTGAGAAGAAATAGAGAACCATTTTGATTTAGTCTGTAGAAAATGTATTTTCACTTTTTGGCTACTATCTTTGTAAATGAAATTCCAGAAAAATTACTTAGACTCCCATTGTTTTTTTTTTCAGTTTGA